GAGGGAGGAGGGGGGTGGGGAGGGAGGGGGGTTAGACCGGACAGAGAAGGGGTCTGTTCCTCTCCATGGAGGGGACAAGGGATGGGGAAGGGGAAGGAGGCGGGAGAAGGTGAAGGCAGGCCCGAGCTGCGGGACAGGGCATGCAAGATACAGACAGACGGACAGACAGAAAAATACAGAGAGGTGGAAGAAGGGAAGGGAAATTGGATGGGGCAGACAGAAAGGAATGGGGAAACAGAAGAGACAAGTGGTTAGTGACTTGGAATTCTGACCAAGTTGCCCCACTCTGTCCCCACCACCATCCCCCGCAGGTCCGCTGGACCTCCCCCATCCCGCCCAGCAACCCTCCTCCCCTCAGGAGGGACACAGGCTGGGGGTGGGGTCAAGATGTGGTAAACGTTCAGGACCAAGCCAGAGGAGGAGGATCAGCTCCCCAGACCCAGCACGCCCCCCTTCTAGCCGCTTTCTCCCTCCCAGGCAGGCTCTCCTCAGGGACTTAGGAGTCCCAGTTCCCACCTCCCTCTGGGAGGGAATGAGATAGACAAGGAAGAGAATATAAAAATACTGTCATTAATTAGCAGGAAGTGGCGGGTTTGTTTATACGTGTTAATTACTCCTGAGCTGTAATTTCATGGTGCTGAACCCCCACCCCAGACCAGACCCGGGCCTTTCCTGGGACTGCACAAACCCAGAACCTTCTCCCCCTTCAACATACCATTCCCTAAGGATGTGTCCGGCCCCAAGACCCCTTTCTCCCCAGGCCCTCTCCATTTCTTCCTTCAGAAGTTGGGGTGCCTTGAGGTAGGGGTTAGAGTAGGGAGGGGGATGCTGGAGGGGCAAATCCAGGGACAGATGTGTGATCCTGCAGCTGGTTGCCGGGCGACGGGATGCTGCCCCGCAATGTTACCTCGGCAACGGGCTGCAGCTTTAACCCTGGAGGGGGGGTCTGGAGGAAGGGGTTGGCTTGGTTGTGGGGTACATTCAGGGCATGAGCAGGACAGAGGCGTGAGTCAGAGTGCTAGAGTTTCAGCATAGAGGAAGAAGTATATATGTTGAAGGGAGGGGGAGACTGGGGACATTGAGAACCCTAAAAGACCGGCCTCTTGCCCCTTTTGTCGGCCTATCAATGCCTAGCCCTAGTGACCAGGCCTCTGGCTTTGAGAAGGGGTTCTGGGGTGGGCTTGGGGAGGCATCAGATGAACCTACTAACTGCCCCCCTCCCACAGTCTTGAAAGCTTTGGACCCTAGACACCTCTTTGTGTGGCATTTTGACCCATGTCCTGGGGGCAAAGCTCAGCTTTCTTCTCATCTCATCCCATCCACCTCCCCTTCTCCTTGCCACCCCCCCCCTTCCCCGCAGTTGCTACTCTGATGCCCGGCTGCTCAAGGCAGCAGGGGCAGGACAGGGAAGAGACCAAACCTGAAGGGGCAGACACCCAGGTCACTTCAGCAAGCCCCCCCCCTGCCCCCACCAGCCGCCAGAGCTGTTTGCTGACGCGGGGTTTTTCAGAGCCAGGCGCCAGCCCGCGGGTGGCTCTCTGCAGGTGTCAATTTATTCCAGAGATGAGGACACAGGAATCCTTAGCACACACACCCAGCCATGCCCTCCCCTCTTCAGGTCCTCTTTAGCTCCTGCTCTCCCATCACCTGGAGAGGGCTTGGAGCTGGCCTCTCCAGGACCTCCTCTTCCCATCCAGGCTGGGCTCAGCTACCAAGGCCTTGCTGCCCCCTCCCCCTCCCACCAGCACGGTCTGCCTCTGTCACCCCCACTCCTTTAGGGTACTTTGGGCCCCTGGCCTTCTTCCCACTAGCCAGCTTTTCTCCCTTCTTCCCTCCCACTGGAGCCCTCCCCCCACCCCCCATCTCTCTTCTCTCCATAGCGCTCCCCCTGAGCATCTTTCCTCGGCCTCTTCCAGCTAGCTCCAGCTCTTCCCTTCAGTCTCTCGCCCCTTGGTCCTTTTTTCACCTCTCTCTTCTACATCTCCCTCCTTGGTTCTCATCTCCTTTTATCTCTCTCCTCCAAATATCTACCCCAAATCTCTCCCTCAAGCCCCTCACTCCTGTCTTTCTCTATCTCTGTCTCCCCCATTTTCTCTCCCCATCTCTGTCTGCCACATCTTGCTCCCCCTCCTCCCCATCCCTCTGCCTTGCTCTCTCCATTCCTGCCCAGGCCTGGACTCCCCCAGCCAGGGAGAGTTGAGGGACGGGGGCTCAGGCCGCAGGCCCCCCCCCCTTCCTGCAGTGGGGAAAATGGCTTGGCCGGGAAGGGGAGAAGGAGGGGGAGGGGGAGATGGGAACACACGGGGTCTGTGGGCCCATTCAAAGGATCATTCATGGACTGGAGAGAGGCAGAGACAAAGAGACCAAGACGCAGAGACACGGCGAGAGCATCCCTAGGCGGAGACACGCAGACAGAGCAGGCTGGGGGAAACCAGGCGCAGGAAGGGAGATGGGGAGAGGGAGACCCCAGCGGACCGCCACGCAGCCCCCTCCGCCCGGCTCGGCTTAGCTCCTACCTGGCTCAGCCCTGGGGCCGTGGTGCCTCCATCCAGGGCTCCGAGTTGGGGGCGGACGGGCTTCGGGAGGGGGGCGGCGGCCTCTGAGCCCCCGCGGCCCTGCAGGCCCAGCCCCCCCCGCAGCGCCTCACCCGGCGGGGGAGGGGGATCGCCCCAGCCCCAGGGGGCGGGGCCGGGATCCAGTCGATCCCCGGGAAAAGGAGAGCTAGGGGATGAGGTCAGGGGGAACCCGAGAACGGGGAACCCCGCAGTGGGGACAGCAGAGCAAGGAGGTGGCAACGGGACAGAACTGGATTTGGGATCCACTGGCTCCGTGGGTCGGCTTCGAGGGACCAGAGGCGGTCCAGGCGGAGGATCTTAAGTGATCGGGTGCTGGAGGAGGAGTCCACGGCAATTCCCAGGGGCCTGGGGCCCGAGAGCGCAGGATCCGCGGTGCAGGGGCAGGGATCCAGCCGGAATCCTCGGGAGGGGGAGGGATCTAGTTGATCCCGAGGGCGGGAGGGAGGGGGAGGTACGGGGAGTCTGAGGAGGGCGGAAGCCGAGTCCGGGGCCCTGGGGCGGGGGTCGGTGCGGCTCCGAGGAGAGACAGCGGGGGTGATTGGCTTCGGGGGACGCTCAGCGGCTAGGAGGCCCGGACTCCTGGCTCCGCGCGCCAGGGCCCGCCCGCTCCGCGTCCATCCCAGCCCGAGAGTGATGATCCGCCGGCGGAGCAGCCGCAGCAGCCCCGCGCGTCACCGCGCGGCCGCCTCCCCCGCCCCCTGCCGAGAGAGCGGCGCACACCCCTCGCTCGCACCCGCCTGCCCGCCCTCCGGAGTGTGGGGGGATTGGAGACAGTGGAAGGGGGGGGGAGTGGACAGACGGACGGATGGACGTAGATGGCCGGGGCAGGGTGGAGACATCCCCCCGGATCTCCCACCCTCGGGGCTCTCGAGGTCTGGTGGGGGACAAAGTCTGAACTGTAGGGGACGGGGCATCATATGAAGAAGGCGGTGCCTTCGGACGTGGAGGAGGGGCCATCTCGAAGCGGGCGGGGATTCATGGCGATGGGCGGTGCTTGAGTATCCGTGAGGCCGCCTCTTTTGGGGAGTGGGTTTGGTTTAAAGCTGAACAGGAGGAGCCAGTGGGGAAAGGGGCGGAACTTTGAGAGGGGACCGGGATCTTTGGAAATTGGACGGAGGTGGGGGGAGTTCGAAGAGATCAACTTGGAAAGTGGGCCAATCCGTGACGCAAATCCTCTAGTCCCGCCCCCCAACCCCGCCCCCCACTGCTCTGCTCCTCCGCTCTTAATTGGTGCCGGTTTCTCCGCCCGCCAGACGTCTTCGCCACTCAGCAGCGGTTTAACAAAGGCCCAAGCACGGGCGAGGACCTGCACGCTGAAATGAACACGGCCTGGATTGGGCACCTGTGGACCTTCTTTGCACTGACGATCGAGATTGGCTGTCCTCTTGGGTGGCCTGGGCGGTGTTCGTCTGGTGCGTGACCATCCACAGCTATGGCCGGGCCAGGGGCTACTTTCCGCCGCCTGGGCGCCTTGTCCGGAGCTGGGGCCTTCGGCTTGGCTTCCTACGGGGCGCACGGTCAGGAGGCTGGAGACTCAGCTGGGACTGTGCTTGGTTGGGGCGACCTCTAGAGTGTGGTGCAGGGGCGGAGCCTATGGGAAGCGCCCGACATCCCGTAGAGCAGACAACCTTCTCTTTAAGAGAGACCTAAATCTTTTGAAGTCCCATAGCCGGGTCCAGTTGGTTCCCCAAACTGTCCCATGCGTGTTTCCACCAATCGGAAACTTCCTGGGGGGCGCCATTTCTCGTCAATCTGGGTCCCCCGGGATTGGGGGCGGTCGGGGCTGGCACTAGGACTGGTAACTTTTGCTTCTCTCCACAGGCGCCCAATTTCCAGATGCCTACGGGAAGGAGGTGAAGTAACTGCGCCGAGGCTCCCCGACTCGCGGGTTTACGAAGGCACAAAGTCGGGTCTCTGAGAGAAGTCGGGGGGCGGGCAGGGAGAGGCACAGGTCTCTGGATCAGCAAAGGCTGCCAGACTGAGGCTTGGGAGTAAGCTGGGACTTCAAGGGTGGGGTGGGGATGGACTTTGGTTCTGTTTGTCACCATGAGATCTCAGGCTCGTACGTTGCTTATGAAGTTCCCCATTTCTCTTTTTCTTACAGCTCTTTGACAAGGCCAACAAACACCACTTCTTACACAGCCTGGCCCTCTTAGGGGTGCCCCACTGCAGAAAGCCCATCTGGGTAATCTTTACCCCTGCCTAACCCTGACCAAGCCCCACCCACTCCCTCTAAATCTGCCCTGTTCTTACAAGCCTGTATTCTGCCCTGTGTCTCCATTAGGCCGGATTACTGCTAGCCTCTGGAACCACCTTATTCTGCACCAGCTTTTACTACCAGGCTCTGAGTGGAGACACCAGCATCCAGACTGTGGGCCCTGTCGGAGGCAGCTTACTATTCTTGGGCTGGCTTGCCTTGGCTCTTTGAGCTCCCTTTTGTTTAATTACTGAGTTCTGGGTAATTTTTTGAAAGGTGGAGCAGGAAGAGGATTAAAAGAGAAAGGCAAATAAAGAACTTTGGAGTCTGTTCATCTAACGTCTTTTTTTTTTTTTTTTTTTTTAAAAGATGACCGGTAAGGGGATCTTAACCCTTGACTTGGTGTTGTCAGCACCACGCTCAGCCAGTGAGCGAACCGGCCATCCCTATGTGGGATCCGAACCCGGGGCCTTGGTGTTATCAGCACCGCACTCTCCCGAGTGAGCCACGGGCCGGCCCTCATCTAACGTCTTGGAGGAGGAAGGGTAAGGATTCACCTCTGGGCTCCCTCCCTTCCCTAAGACTTAATCAGTGAGCCTTAGGTCTTGGGAGTCCTTTCATGTCAAGTTAACCTGTTACAATGTTCTTTTTTATTTATTTTTTAAAGATGACTGGTAAGAGGATCTTACCCCTTGGCTTGGTGTTGTCAGCACCACGCTCTCCAAGTGAGCTAACCAGCCATCTCTATATAGGGATCCAAACCCATGGCCTTGGTGTTATCAGCACCACGCTCCCCCAAGTGAGCCATGGCCTGGCCCTATTATGATGTTCTTAAACATGTGGGCATCAAAAAAAAAAAAAAAACATGTGGGCATCAGAATCATAAAGAGTGCTTGAAATAGTGAGTATTCCTTCTGAAGCCCTCTTTGGGGCCTAGGAATCTGTATTTTAATAAGCTCATCTTGTGGTTCTGATGCCCACTAGAATTTGAAGATTACTGTAGGGTAGTGGTTTTCAGCCCTGTCATCCCACAAATTTATTGAGAACCCACTTACTCTAGAAGTGAGGGTTCAGGCAAGGCAAGACAGGAGGAGTGTCATTAGTTACAAAATACTTTGGGGTTCAAACTGGTAACATCATGATGTATTGAGGGTCAGAAAATGCTTCACAGTGCTTGAGATAATCTGTACAGGAGCTCTGTTGTCTGGAGGAAACGCAATGAATAAAGAGACCGAGGTGAGGAAGGGAGAGATTTGGGGCAACATGAGTCTTCAGTGTAGGCTGAGTTTCTGAGTTAGGCAGGAAAGGAGAGAGAAAAGGCGCAAGACAAGCTGTAGCAGCATTCACAGCATGTACAGACCTGGAGGATGTTTAGGGGGGCAGTATTTATTAAGCCACTGTTGATCATGTGTCAGACACACATTACAAGGAAGTTCAACCCTGAGAAGACAGACACTGTCCTTTCCCTCATGCAGTTTCCCATCTAGTAGTGGAAATGGACTTAAACAACCAAACACACAAATATATTATTGTGAGTTGTGCTACTTGCTTGAAGGAAAAGAACAGGGAGGCAGTGGAACAGCTGAACAGTGAAGGTTGTACCCCTTTAGACAGGAAGGCCTCACCTGGGAGGTCCTGTTGAATGAAGCTCATTCATGTGCAAAGTGGAGGGGAAGTGTATTCTAGGAACAATGAATAGCTGGCAAAACAGGCTGAAAGGAGCAGCTCAAAATCTTTGAGGCTCCTAGGAGAAAATTTGGTGATTTGGAGAGAAGAGCAAAACCAGTGTGGCTGCCATACAGTGACTAAGGGGTCCCGGATGGTCGGTACGGGCCTTGTAGACAGTGGTAAGGGTTAAAGTCATTCTTTTTTTTTTTTGTGGCCGGCTGGTACTAAGTCATCATTTTTAATTTCTATTTTTGTGTATGTTTTATAATGTACAATCTGTGTGATATATTAAGGGGGCATACTTAATTTTTCTGAAGCTCTGTATTCAAAAAAATATGCAGACCCTTTCTCTAAATGAGAGGATTTTTAGGTAACCTCATCCGGTCCCATAACTTTAATTACGGTGTGCATACCTTTATATCCATGATTTCTATCTCCCACCCTAGTCTCTACTGAGCTCCAGACTCCTGTCCCAGCAGCTTTCAAGGCAGCCCTGAAGCAAGAGAGTATATAAGAGACTTGAAAGAATTCCTGGTGGCTGGCTTAAAGACTTTGAGAGGGTCAGCAGTGAGAAATGAGGATAACAGGGCCAAATGGTAGAGGGCCTCGTGCTGACAGGTTGGACTTTCTCTTGAGGGCAGTAGGGAGCCACTGAAGCATTTATATCCAGGGAGGTGGCATGATTTGAGGTACATTAGTAGAGGATCATAATATTTCTTCATTTTCTTATAACACCAAGGTCAACGGTTCAGATCCCCATACTGGCCAGCTGCCAATAAAAAAAAAAAAAAAGTCTTCATTTTAAAGATGAGGCCTCAGAAGGAAGCTCCAGAGGGGCCCAAAGGCAGAGCCACAGCTGGATCCCCAGGCTTCTACGTTCCAGTCCAGTACTCTTTCTGTCTCTCCATTCTTCATCTCGAGTGGCATCTAGGGCACAGAGGGAAGCTCCAGGTATCTGGAATGGCCTTCCTCCATGTAATGGGATCCCCAACATCTTAGCTTTGGTCCTGCCAGTATATACTGGGCATGTAGGGAACCAAGATAAATAAGGTTTGCTTGGTAATTGGTCCCTCTTATTGAGATTTGTTAAATGAGGTATTTGAGTTAGGTTCAGTGTAGTCAGGCATGACACAGTAAGGGACACTGAGACCAGAATGGCAAAAAGATTCAGTTTATTACTCAGACCCTGGAGAGAAGATGGCAGCACACCTCACAGGGCCAATGGGAAGGGAGGAGCCATCCAGAACACACAAGCTCAACCAGCAGATGGGGAGAAAAAGAGAGAGGGAGGGGCCTGCGGGCTGAAGCCTTTAATGGGATCCAGAATGTTACCTATGTGGGTTTCCCATGACAGGGTTGGATTGGTTAATTCGAAGGGAGTATGAAGCTAAGTGCAGGAACTCGGGTCACATTATTGGGTTCACCAGGCTTAAAGCAAATGTAAGACAGTCAAGCAGTTTCAGAGTATGGGCTTTATCTATCTAGAACACAAAAGTGGGAATTGGAGACTACCTCAAAATATGTTGGTCAAAGGTGACAAGCAAGGGACAGAACAAGATGAACGCTGAGGCAGCATTAATAATGAGAATTATGACAATTCCTGAACATTGTGTTGGGTCTTCTCAACAGCCCTGCAAGTTAGTGGCAAGGGAAGCTAAGAGAGACAAAGTAACCTATTTATACTGTGCAGCTAGGACCTGAGTAAGCTGTGATTCAAACTCTCTTCTGTCCAGCTCCCAAAGCTAAGTTCTTTCCCTCTACAAACTAAGACATTTAGATTTCAGCAGTGAAGACAGACCCTTTAGAAAGATAATCTGATCTAATGTGTTCAGTGTTACAAGTAGGTACTGAGGTGGGCTTGTTTTGCCTTTGGAGACTGGTAAGACTTCAGTCTGTTTGTTAGGTTTTCAGCATGCATAGGAGTTTGACAGAAAAAAAGACACAAGACCATATTGATGACAACTCAGGAGGGAGAACAGGAGTGCCTAGAGTCCAGTACTGATTGGGTGGGCAGGCAGGAAATGAGCAGAGTAAGGGTGGGGACTGCACTGTGCATCCAGGTCATCAACAAATCCTATTGACTCAAATACATGTCCGGAATCTGGCTGTTTCTCACCACCTCCCTTGCTATCACCCTGGCCCCTGTTCCAAGCCACTATTGTATCTCACCTACATTTCTGTGAGAACTTCCTTCTGCCTTTACTTACCTACAGACTACTCTTGACAAAGCAGCCTGAAAGAGATCCTTCTAACTCAGTAGTCCTCAGCGTTGGCTGCACATTAAAATGTAGGCAGTTCTCACAAAGTTCATTTATTCATCCATTTTCTGTTGCTTCTAACAGAATACCTGAAACTGGGTAATGTGTTAAAAAATGAAATTTAGGGGCCGGCCTGTGGCTCACTTGGTAGAGTGCGGTGCTGGTAACACCAAGGCCATGGGTTCGGATCCCATATAGGGATGGCCGGTTAGCTCACTGGTTGAGCGTGGTGCTGACAACACCAAGTCAAGGGTTGAGATCCCCTTACCAGTCATCTTTTTAAAAAAAAAAAAAAAATGAAATTTATTTCTTACAGTTTTGGAGGCTGTTGAGTCCACGGTCCAGGGGCACGTCTGGTGCGGGCCTTCTGGGAAGGGGCTGTACAGGGTCCTGTGGTGACACAGGATTTCACAAGGCGAGAATGGCAAGAGCTCTTTCACATGCTCTTCTTATAAAACCACCAGTCTAGGGCTGGCTTGGGGCTCACTTGGGAGAGTGCGGTGCTGGTAACACCAAGGCCACAGGTTCGGATCCCTATATAGGGATGGCCGGTTAGCTCACTTGGGAGAGCGTGGTGCTGACAACACTGAGTCAAGGGTTAAGATCCCCTTACTCATCACCTTTTAAAAAAAATAATAAAATAAAATAAAAATAAAACCACCAGTCTATGCCCATGACAACCCATTAAATTATTAACCCATTACTCCGTGAATGGATTAATCCATTCATGAGGACATAGTCCTCACAATCCAGTCACCTCTTAAAGGCTGCACCTTTCAACACTGGCATAGTCTGACTTCTCACCCTCTTAACACTGTTACAATGGGGATCAAGCTTCAATGGGTTTGGGGTGACATTCAATCCACCTCTCTGACCTCCCTCTTGGTAACCCCATTCCTGCCTCACTGGTCTTTTTGTTCATTGAACAAGTAAGGCACACTTCTGCCTCAAGGCCTTTGCTCTTGCTGTTCCCTCTGCCTGAAACACTCTTCATCCAGATGTCTGCATGGCTCAATCCCTCACCTCCTTTAGATTCTTAATCAACTATTACCTTCTCAGTGATGTTTTCCTAATCTGCTCTCTTTAAAATTACAACCCCTACCCACCATTCCCTCTCCTTATGCTGCTCTAGTCTTCATAGCACTTATGACCATCGGACTTCCCATTTTTTACTTTTTATCTGTCTCTTCTCCACTAGAATGTAAGCCCCAGGAGGTCAGGAATGTGGAAGGTATTTTTTTGTTTTCGTTTTTGATGGCTAGTCGTTAAGGGGATCTGAAACCAAGGTTTTATCAGCACCATACTTTAAGGGAGTGAGCTAACCAGCCTGCCCGTGTCTTTTTTATTTATTTATTTTTTTGGCAGCTGGCTGGTCCGGGGATCCAAACCCCTTTTTTTACTTCTATGTATTCCTATCACCTCAAATGCTGTCTGACATATAGTAGGTGCTCACTAGGGTCAGGGTTAAGGGTTAGGTGTTAGGGTTAGGCCTTCTGTGCACGTGGGCGGCACTTCAACTCAACTCTTATGCCACTCGGCCAGTAGGCCCCCACGGCGCCGGACTTGCTCACACCGCGGACCTCCTCGGGCTCAGGACCCAGAAGATGGGACTCCTCTTGGGGGAAGCCTTTTCTGACAGCGCTTCCTCCTCTGGCCCCGAGCCTCACGTCACTCACTCTCATTACTGACGCTGTTTGGCCACCGGGTGGCTAGGCACGCCTGAAGGAAGTACTGCAATTGCGAGGCGCCTGTGTGGGTCGCCGCTGCGGCAGGGAGAGAAGCCGGCGAGGTCGCCCCTGCGAGGTAGAAAGGAAGCCAGGAGCCAGTCCTGGAAGCCAATGAGTGAGTGTGAAGGGTGTTCCGCTGCGTCAGCGAGGCCCGAACCGCCCTTGGGAGGAGGAGTCCAGAGTCCAGGGCGGCCGGGCGGCGGGAGCGCACGCAGAGCTCGCTTCCCACCAAGGGGCGCTCAGCACTCACTGCCGCGGACCCGACGGGGGTCGCGGGCTGGGTACTAGCCGGCTGCCCTCCCCAGGCGCTCTTCCTCTGGGCGTCTGCAGTGGGAGCGGAAGAGGCGGGGACGCCGGCGATTTCAAGGAGCCTTAGGTCCAGAGTCCGCGGCCCCCGGCGGTGGAGAGGCGGCCTCTTCCCTGCGCAGACGCACCGCCCAGGCCGGGAGGGGCGGGGCCCGGACGGGTCGAGGGGCGGAGTCAGGTCCTGGGCCCGCCTCCGCCAGCTCTTTTGAGCCGCCGAGTGCGCGGCACCCGGGCAATTCTGGGGGCTTCAGGTGAGCGGGGGCACAGAGGGATCAGGGAGACCTCCTTCGAGGTCGGACCGTCGGTCTATCGCGGGTCCACCTTTCCTGCCGCCCCCCAACAGCCGCCTCTGCGGAGAATGGGAGAACAAAGGGAGGGGGCGGTTCTGGGGCCCCCGAGGGAACCCAGGGTCCCAGGTACTCCGCACCGCCCACTGACACTTTCGGTTTCTCCCCGAGTCAGAGGCGCCGCCCAAGAGACCCCGGCCGGTGCCGGGCGCAGCCGCCTCTCCGTATTTGCCTGTCAGTCTTTGTGTCTGTCTCTGTATCTGTCTGGCTGTCTCCGAGCTTGCCTCCACTTCCAGAACTAAGCCTCCGGGACACCGACACCCACCCCTTTCCCATGGCAGGTAAGTGGGCGCAAGGCCGGGGGTCTCCGTTATCCCCCCACGGACTGGGGAGCCGGGTGTCTAACACATCCCCTGGGAATGTGCTCGGACTGGCTTCGTGGGGCCCCTCCCTTCCTCCCGGGGAGCCACCGCCCTGCTCCCCTGCCCCATCTTTCTCCGCCTCTTTCCAACACATTTCCTCCGTAGCCTCGTGGCCCTTGGGCTGAGGAATAAGGGAATGAGGCCGCGGATACCTTTCTAACCTAACCCTGCCCTCCCCCACCAGGCTACTTGCCCCCCAGAGGCTACGCCCCTTCGCCCCCACCTGCCTACCCTGTGACCGCTGGGTACCCGGAGCCGGCGCTGCATCCTGGGCCCGGGCAAGCGCCAGGACCCGCCCAGGTTCCTGCCCCTGCCCCCGGCTTCGCTGTGTTCCCCTCGCCCGGCCCCGTGGCCCCGGGATCCGCTGCTTCCTTCTTGCCACTGCCGGGAGTGCCTTCTGGTCTCGAATTCCTGGTGCAGGTGAGTGGGAGGGAGGAAGAGTAACAGGGAGGGGACCAGAGCGTGCAGACCGGCTGGCTGATCTCAGCTCCCTCCTACTCTCTTTCCAGATTGATCAGATCTTGATTCACCAGAAGGCTGAGCGAGTAGAAAGTAAGTGGAAGGTGCAGTAGGTTGGGCCCTGTGATGGGGGCAGAGATGGTGGGCTCCTGGGCGGGCCACGTGCCTGAGCCTCATGTGCACCCCCGCCAGCATTTCTCGGCTGGGAGACCTGTAACCGGTACGAACTGCGCTCCGGGGCTGGGCAGCCCCTGGGTCAGGCGGCCGAGGAGAGCAACTGCTGCGCCCGTCTGTGCTGTGGCGCCCGCCGGCCGCTGCGTGTCCGCCTGGCCGATCCCGGGGACCGCGAGGTGCTGCGCCTGCTCCGCCCGCTCCACTGTGGCTGCAGCTGCTGCCCCTGCGGCCTCCAGGAGGTGGGTGGGAAGGGATGGGACCGGGGAGAGGCTCTGGTGTGGGGCGGGACAATGATGAGGCAGGACCCAGGTAAGACTAGCTCGGGTACGAGTGGGCAGGTGGGATTGGTTTAGTGAGGAGGGCAAATAGACAGATGATAAGAGCTGGGACCAGGTTGCCCTGGCTCAGCAGTGACCCTGCCTGCCTCCCACTCCAGATGGAAGTACAGGCTCCACCGGGCACCACCATCGGCCACGTGCTACAGACCTGGCACCCCTTCCTCCCCAAGTTCTCCATCCAGGATGCCGATCGCCAGACGGTCCTTCGAGTGGTGGGGCCTTGCTGGACCTGTGGCTGTGGGACGGACACCAACTTTGAGGTATCAGGAACATGGGGAAGTTCCTGGGACCTTCATAAACCAAGATCGCAACTTCACTGATCCCAGATGGCAGTTTCCATTAGGCAGGATAGCAAGCACTAAAGTCAAGACCCTAAGCTCATCAATTGAAATGCACCATGACTCCTAACCCATTTCCAGTTTTCCTCCATTTGGAAATAGGATGTCCCAGTGGTCTTACAATAGCATGGCAAAGAGGATTTCATCTTAGGGACCAATGCTGACTGTTACATACAGCCCTGTGCTAGGGTAAAAAATCTAAACCCAGCCTCAATTTATAGTGAAAGATGATTTATTTTATTTTTTTTATTTTTTTATGGCAGCTGGCTGGTACAGGGATTGAACCCTGGACCTTGGTGTTATCAGCACCACTGAAAGATGATTGTTAAGTCTGCTGTGGGCTGAGCCCATGTGGCTACTGTGTATGAGTTTGTGAGCCCAGCCCCTGGAGCAAGCACTAACTTAACATGTTAACACCTTGTGGCTTGCCCTGCCCACCTAGATGTCCAAATCGTCCTTCCAACCTGAAATCCAGGTAATGTCCTTCTCACCGTGCATTCCTATCACTAACCTGGAGCCTGGAGATCCCAAGTGGTGAGAGTTTCAGAGTGAGGCCTGGGAAGCACCTTGGTTTATAGAAGACAAAGCCACTCCACAGACCCTTGAGCTATTTAAGGAATATTTCCTGTGCAGATAAGGGAGAAACAACAGGTATAATCCAGTAGAATTTCCTACACTTCTATTGATGTGCCCTACCTAAGGTTACTTTTAAAAAATGAGTCACCTTGGTAGCTGGAGGGAGGTTTTGTGATGGGAACCGGTTGGGAAAGAGATAACTGAGTGATCTCAGGATGGGAATGTGTAGACAGTAGGGTTCTCACAGGTCCAGGGTCCTTTTATGTAACTATGAATGGTCCATACTTGGGCTGCACCTTTCAGACCACACGGCTGGCTGGGACAGGCCCTGCACAGCCTGGGACTGGGCTGCAGGAGGTGCCCCAGAGCTGTAGGACAGTGGAGGAGGGGGATGGGAAGGACATAGAAGGAAATCACTCCCGTTCTAGTCACTGGAGAATAAGCATAGGAAAAGGACCAGGAAGTCACTGTAAGTTATCACCCACACTGGCAGGGCCTGTTGCTGCTGGGTTCAGAGACCAGTGAAAATTGTGGTCCTCAGAGACTACTTGCTGCTGCTCTTCCCCCCAGTGGACAGGCTTGGATCCCCTCTAGATGAGGCTTGCATGCAATGCTCGATAGAGCCCTCCCCTACTTTGCAGACTAGAAAAGAGGCCCTCCTTTGGGCAGACATAGCCTTCTAGAAGCCTGCTTGGTTGGTACAGTACAGACAGGATTTTGGCAGCCTCCCTTGGTCTCTCAGCCAGGATACTCTGTGCAGGGCACAAACTGCACCAACTGGGGTGGCAGAGACATTGTTAACCAAAGCAAACCTAGCAATGAGCCATATGCTAAGGGGATTAGACTATGTAGTGCTTTCATTTCTCCTACGACTGGTGTTCAGTTATGTCATGCATGGCCTTTGGAGAGCAACACATCTGAGTCTGAATCCTGGTTTTTGCTACATACTCTCAGCATGACCTAGGGTGCCTCAGTTTCCCCAGCTGTCACAAGGCTGTTGGGAGGCTTCACTGAGTATAGCACCTGCACGACACATACATGGGAGTGAGATTGGAGGCAGGTGAGATCGGTTGCATCCACCCCAGTGGAGTCCTTCCAACCTCCCGACAGGTGAAGACTAGGGATGAATCCCGCAGCGTGGGCCGCATCAGCAAGCAGTGGGGTGGGCTGCTTCGAGAAGCCCTCACGGATGCAGATGACTTTGGCCTACAGTTCCCATTGGATCTGGACGTGAGGGTGAAGGCTGTGCTGCTGGGAGCCACGTTCCTCATTGTGAGTTGGCTGCCCCTACCCCTCCCCTCCTGCCACTACTTTGCTGTCACTTAGAGCTCTGTGCACTTCCTGGCCTCTTGCTAGGAAAAGATCAGGGATAGATGTTGTGCGGGCTTGAGGTTCCAGACCTGGGTTGTGATAGCTGAGCCAGGGTGACCCAGCTGGATCTCCAGTTGACAGTGGCCTCCCCTCAGGACTACATGTTCTTTGAGAAGCGAGGAGGTGCTGGGCCCTCCGCCATCACCAGTTAGAGGCCGCCTCAGGGTGAGAAGACCATCACCTCAACCAGAATTCAAGATGGTCACCTGCCCTGGCCTGGCTCCTCAGAGGCAGCCCCTTTCCTCCACGTACACTGCAGAGGACAGACAGGGGTGCCTGAGAGGCTGGGGGCCATGGCATCCCATCCCTACCTTCCTCCCCTTGCCTCCTTCACCTGTGGCCCCCACAGAGGGTATGTATGAGCGCCCTTCCCTTACTACCACGGTCTCCCAGAAGTCCCTCAGCTCACAAGCACATCAGCTTCAAACTTGCCCGCACACTGCCCCCACTCACTTCCAGGGCTTCTGCTCCAGAGGAGGCCATTGGAACCCAGGACTCCGGGGTTTTACGACAGGGCCAGGGTGGAGAAGGGTAAGCAGCACCAAAGATGGAAGACATGGCCACCCTTCCCCTGCATCAGCTTGGCCAATGAGTTCAGCCTCAGACTATGGCACTTTGAGGGAATCCCCACCTCTCCAACAGCTGTAGGGGCTGGGCCCCAGTGCCAACTTCATCTCTCCCTTGGGCCCTGCCCACAGCTGGTGCTTGCTGCAGCTTCCTGTGCCTTATTTAACCACCCTTTCCTTCCCTTGCCCTAGGAAGGAGGCTGCATCTTTGTATGTTATATTCATATAAACTTTGTAACGTTTTGGACATTGGAAGATGTGTGTAATTGGGGAGGGTAGAAGAAAGAGTTGATGTGGGAAAAAACAAAGGGAAATAGGGCTGGGGCAAGGGCTGGCCTGTCTTCTAACCCACGCTACCTGGATTAAATGTCCTTAAGACCAGGAGAACAAATTTCATCACCCATGATGGCCCTGGACCAAACCAAGGCAGTTTAGGCCATGTGCCCTAAGTCAGTATGGTTGCTTCCATCATCCAAGATTGCTGCCCCAGAGTCCAGTGTTGTAGCTGGCTGTTCCCATGGTCCAGTACGGCCACTTGATCATTCTCTGTAGTGAGTCAAAGCTTCCTCTGGAAATGATGTGTGCCAACTCTTTTCCTCCAAGTCCTCCTCTTGTTTGGGAATGTGGTGGGCAGAGTAGACTAGATCCTTCTTGGCCCAGCCAAGGGAGCTTGGCCCTCAGAGGCAAAGGGGCAGGGTTAGAAGGAGACACTCATCAGTGCCTGACCCCGGGCTCCTGTATCCTACTACAGACCCTGTAGCAGATGGGATCTCCCCAGGTGTGAAAGTCTGCCCCTGTCAGGACCTTGTTCTGGTTCTGCTTGGTCCCACATGGCCAGGTTCTGAGAGGCTAGGCATTCCATGCTGGTGTCCATGCTCAAGGAAGCAGAGTTCATGGCCGGGCCAGAACATAGCGGCTGGCAGCTGAGAGGTCCCACTGGTAGTGCTCTAGGATGCGCCGACAGTCAGCTCTGGACCGGCTACTCAGTTGGAAGAGATGGTCTACCTGTGGAAGCAGGAGGGAGGGCAGCTGACTGCCAGGTGGCAGGGGAAGGAGAGGAGGGAGCCCAAGAGAAGGGTCTGGCTTTACCTTGAGGTTCCGGATGGCAGAAACCACATCTCCCCCAGTGGCTCTTAGCGCCTCTTGGCACTCCCGGTGGGTGACTCCATGCACGCTCATCTCCACCTGCATGGGACAAAGCCTCACTCAGGCCCCTGCTCTAGCTCGTAGCCACTTCTAGACACCAGGCCATTTCACTGAGACCTCACCTCCATAATCTTCCTCTGAAACTCAGGGTTGGCAAAGAGACCTCCAGAGGGGACAGTGGCTTTACTGGCTCCAGGTGCTCCCATAGGGTGGTTGTGTGGGGGTTCTCTTTTGGGCCAGGGAGGCCTCTCCCTGGGGGGCTGGCTGGGCTGAGAAGAACTGGAGGCAAAAGGCGGGCGTGGAGGCAGGCTTGGGGGTACCTGGGGCACAGCTCTGGCATGTCGAAGTTCAGGGGGGCTCGAACCACCCCCTGTGGGGCGAGGGCCCAGGGACAGAACTGACTCTAGACTCTTGGAAATGCCTGCACAGTTGAAAAAGAAACAATTGAGAGGAGGCCCAGATGCTAGGCCCTGCCTTCTTCACGCTCTCTGTCTTTATCTGTGTTGAGCTGGATGGTTTTGCAAGCATTCAAAAGCTGGCCAGCCCTGTCCTCGGGATGGTCCTTGTGTTAGGTGGGACAATTGGACGGGTGTGCAAATGGATACCAAGGCGTTGACAGCTGAGGACCCAAGGAACTGAGAACTCAAGGGCCACGGTGGGGAGATGCTTTCAGTAGAGAAGGCAGAGGCCTTTGTATCTCTTACAATCTTGAAGTATAACTAGGATGCCTACAGGCAGAATTTGGGGGAAGGATATCGCATAGGCAAAGGCATGGATTCAGGGCAGGTGGTGCAGAATTGGAGGGTTGTACTTGATCTCCTCAGAGACCCTGGAGTCCCCCGACGCCCACCTTTCATCTTCTGCAGAGGTATGTTCCTTCTCTGGCCCCATGCTGCAGGTAGATCCCGAAGCTTTGCCTTCTCTCTGTCCCTGTGGGAGAATGATCCAGTTCATCCTTCACACCACCCCTCTCCACCCCACATATCAATATTCCCTGCCAAAGAAACTCTCTGGGGCACACAGGAGACCTAAGGTGGAAGCTCCAGCTGGGAGACGAGTCTAGTCTCATCTGCAGCTTCACCCTGGTCGTGTTCCCAAGCATCCCTTCCAGAGAAGTTGCTGGACTTGGTCAGTTTCCCCCACCCACATCTGTCCCTCACCCTTACAGATCCTCACCCATCTATGCTTCCCCGGTGTCGCTCTCCCTGGGCAGGTGAGCCTCTGTGGACTGGACGGGTGGCTGGTGAGCCCCCCAAGTCTGTCAGCGTCACTGCCGAGGCTGGGAAGCTGCCCACTTTGAAGGTGCGACCATTCTGGCCCTTCCAGGTTGTGGAGTCAGGGCTGTAGGAAGAGGAGCTGGTGAAGGGCATGGGCACAAGGGGGACAATAGGGACTGGGCTCTGGGCCACATTCAGCTGACCAAGCTGTGTGCCTTGGAGCTGCCTCAGGCTGGAGGGAAGGAAGCCTTTTTCTCTCTAACACAAAAGGGCTCGATGGGTCAGTCAGCAGTGGCTCCAGCAGGGAAGCCAGGACTGTGCTGAAGCTCTCAGGGCCCAGTGGGGAGAGAAGGGGAAGAGTCAGAAGATCAGGGTTCAAGGAGATGGGGAGAAATAGAGAGGAGAGTGGGAGTCAGGAAGGTTGGGAGGAAGTCCTCCTCTTGGGGATCCTTGGGAGGCATGGGGCTATCACCTGCCATCGATGATGGTAATGGGGTCCCCAGGCTCCATCCTCAAGGCACCTGGCTCTGTGACATCCCTCACACAGCGTCCCTCAGAAGGCCAGGCCTGTAGAGACAAGTAAGGGTGACTGACCTCAGGTGGCCTGAATCAGAAGGTTATATGGGAGTAGGAAAGAAAGGAGACTCCCCTCTGTTTGTGCACCCCCCAATCAAATTCATACCAGCTGTATCCTCTGTGCTAGGCCCAGGGTGGGACTCTCCCTATTCCCAGTTGTAATCCAATGGGGGAGGCAAAACTGAATCCCATGCCAACCTGGACACTGCCCAGGGTTCAAGGAGCAACAAAGAAGGACTCTGTCTCTACCCAAGGGGAACAAGGGGACAGCCATCCTGTACACAGCTTTTACTACACACCCAGGCCCATCAGATCCATCCCCCACACATTTCTGGAAAATTTCCCCTCCTCTCCAGCCCCACTGCCTCACCCCTCATCCAGACCTCCTCATCTCACTTCTGCTTCACAGCCACTGTCAGTATCACCCCTCTTATCCATCCTTGCACCACACCAGAGTGATATAATGCATAAAGCTGGCTTGTAACTCCCCTCCTCAAAACCCTCCCATGGCTCCCAAGTGCCCTTAAAGACTAAACTCCTTTAACAGTAAGTAGTGACTTAGGGAACAGCTCTGAAGTCAAACTGAATGGTTCAAATCCCACTCCTCCACTTATTGTGTGACTTTAAGCAAGTCACTTGAACTGTTAGTGCCTCAACTGCCCCATCTGTAAAATGGAGATAATAATAATTACCTCATCGGGTTTTTGAGAGGATTAAATGAGTGACTATGCATAAAAGTGCATTTAAAGCATTTAGAACAGTGTCTTACACAGGTCAAGGGCTCCACATATTAGCTAGTGCTATGAGCAGCCTTACAACCCCCCCACGAGGCAGGCCCTGCTCACCTCTGCAGCCTCATTCCTTCCGTTTCCCCCTCCCACGCTGAACTTCTCTTCCTCTGCCTGTCAAACACCCAGGTCAACCACCGCGCTCTCCTCTGTGCCCCTTTTCTGGCCCACACACAGACCCCGGCCTTTCAGTCTGCATCTGTGTAGTCCCAGGCTGCCTCCCCAGGGCTCTGAGCTCCCTACAGGTAGGGACTGGATCTGTTTTGTTCAGAGCTGGGTCTCAGAGCCCAGCAGAGGCATCAGGATATGTTAGTCTTGTGTAAGGAACCCTGGGAGAGAGAATGGAAGGAAGACAGACTGTGTATCTGAGGAGGTGGGAATCCCCACCTCTTGGAGCAGCCCCTCCAGGTAGGAAAAGGTAGGCCGGTCAGCAGGGTGGGGGGCCCAGCAGCGCAAGGCGAGGGCGTAGAGGGCCCTGGAGCACAGCGGAGGCCTAGGCAGCCGGGCACGGTCCCTCTCCAGCCGCTGTAGGATGAGGTACGGAGGGACCCCGGCCCAGGGCTCCTCGCCCCCGGAGAACATCTCCCACAGCGTCACCCCAAACATCCACACGTCCGAGGCAGACGAGAAGGCTCCCTGGCGCAGGCTCTCTGGGGCACACCTGCGGAAGTGGAGACGAGGGGGGCCGGATATGTACACCGCAAAGCTCCACCGGGCACCGCTCCCCGCAGTGCTCCCATCGTCCTCAGAAGTCCTTCTTTCCAAGCCCTTCCACACCGATGATCCGTCTCGTCCCAGCCTCCCTCAGAGGACCAGCCCCCGCGCACTTCCCCTTAGCTGCTGCGCTGCAGACTCGCCCCCTCTCCCACCGCCCTCAGGGCCTCGCCCTCACCAGGCAAAGGGGATGGGGCGGGGCCCGCCCATGACGTAGCGGCCGTGGGCGCCGCCCAGCGGCCGCCCCAGCCCGAAGTCGGCCACCTTGATGGTGCGCGGCGAAGCCAGCAGCAGGTTGCGTGTAGCGAGGTCTCGGTGCACCAGCCCGCGGGCCCCCAAGTACACCATGGCCCCCGCCAACTGCCGCAGGAAGAGGCAGAGCAGGGCCACGGGCAGCGGGGGTGTCGGGGCCGGGGCCGTCAGGCGCGCGTGCAGGGAGCCCAGTGGTGCCAGCTCCATCACCTGCGGGAGCGCAGCGCTGCCTGAGCCAAGGTCCGGCCCCACCTGATTCTGGCCGCCCACCTCCCTGCCGCCCACCAGCCTCAAGGCTGCCCCGGGAGCCGGCGTCTGGATCTGCTCACCATCTGCAGAGGCTGGCCCAGTACCAGGCCGTGCAGACGCAGCACGTGTGGGTGCTCCAAGTTCATCATGACCGACACTTCTCGCAGGAAGTCCCCCAGCTCTGTGCCCACGGGGCCTTCGGGACCTACCCGGAGGGACTTAACAGCCACTGGGACCTGGAGGTGGAGGGAAGCACCATCAGGCAACTTGGGGAACAGCCATGCGAGGGCCAGGGCAGAGCGGGC